CCAGCCCTATATGGTATGGATTCTGTTTGTTAACCTTTTACTCATTATTTTTGCATTGACATTTATAAGGGAGCCATTTTATGTATTTTTATCCCCTACCCACTGCAAGGTAACAGAACCTGCTTAGACAGTCCATGTTCCAGCTCATTAACCATGAGCCTTACAGTTTTAGACTTTAGTTTAAATACAGTATAGAAGCCCCAAAAACAGCATATAGAAGGTTCCCTAGGGGTTTCCACACTGCATGTCTATGAGAAAATGTGGTTGACTGAGAACTGGCCTTCACTCTTGAGGATTGTTGCAGAAGGGAAGAAGAATACACAACACCCTAACACGTGTAATTCCTAACAGTATTGACCGCCCTTTTTTTGCCCCACTCACCCTCTCACTCTCATCATCCCTAAAATGGCCAACATAAATTTGCCACAAGACCTAAAGAAAACTCATCATGGGGTTTTTAAAAACGTGGACAGGCCAGGCTCAGTGGCTCAGCCTGTCATCCAGCACTTTGGGAGGCCGAGGCGAGTGGATTGTCTGAGTCTGCCAGTTCAAGACCAGTCTGGGCAACTTGGCCAGACCTCATCTCTACAATAAATCAAAAAATGAGCTGGGTATGGTGGTGCGCGCCTATAGTTCCAGCTCCTTGGAAGGCTGAGGCAGACGGATTGCCGGAGCCCAGCAGGCTGAGGTTGGGGTGGCTGTGAGCGTGCCACTGCACTCCAGCCTGGGTGACAGAGTGAGAATTCAACTCAAAAAAAAATAAAAAATAAAAATAAAATAAATAATAATAAATAAAAATAAATAAAAACGTGGACAGCTTGGACTCACAACAAAAAAAGGGTAGTTTTCAATCTCATTAGGGTATACATTTGCATTGTAACAGGAAGGCAATGCCATTGGGGTTGACCCAGTGGTTTTTAAAAACTCAGAATAGGGCCGGGCACAGTAGTAGTTTCAGCACTTTGGGAGGCTGAGGCAAGAGGATTGCCTAAGTCCAGGGGCTCAAGACCAGCCTGGGCAACTTGGTGAGACCTCGTCTCCAGAGTAAATTAAAAAATTAGCCGGCTGTGGTGATGCATGCCTGTAGTTCCAGTTACTTGGAAGACTGAGATGGAAGGATCACCTGAGCCTAGCAGATTGATGCTGCAGTGGCCATGAGTGTGCCACTGCACTCCAGCCTGGCCAACAGAGTGAGACTACGACTCAAAAAAAAAAAAAGAAAAACAAAGAAAAACTCAGAATAATGCCCAATTCAGTGGCTCATGCCAGTAATCCCAGCACTTTGGAAGGCTGAGGCAGGGGGATGGCTTGAGGCCAGGAGTTCAGGACCAGCCTAGGCAATATAGCAAGACCTCATCTCTACAAAAAAAAAAAAAAAAAAAAAGCCAGACATGATGGCTCAGGCTGAAGCAGGAAGATCACTTGAGCCCAGGAGATGGAAGCTGACAAAGTGAGACCCCAACTCAAAACAAGCAAAACCAAAAAAAAAAACAACAAAAACACCTCAGGAATGTGGGGCTAGGTCAAATTGCTGATAGAACCAGCAAGGTTAGAGACATTAAACTTACTGGCTTCTTCCTTAGTATGTTCATTTTGGAACCAAACTCACTTCTGTCAAAAGGCTGGAGGTGAGGTCAGCCATGGTGGTTCACACTTGTAATTCTAGCATTTTGGGAGACTGGGGTGGGAGGATCGCTTGAGGCCAGGAGTTTGAGATCAGGCTGGGCAACATAGTGAGACGTCGGCTCTAATATATATATATATATTTTTTTTTTTTCTTTTTTTTTTTAAGGGACTGAAGCTGTGTCCTTCTTGCCAGGAATTCAGGACTGTAAATACCAGAGTAGGATATATACGAATCCCCATTTTCCCAAACGAGAGAACCAAGAAATACATTTGAGAAACAGGTGGGAGATGAAAGGTAATTTCACTAGGTATTATGGCTTGTTCTATTCCTGGAGTAAAGTATAAAAAAATTTTTAAAATTTTCTTTGTAGATAAATAAGACCTGGGACAAGTCTTAATCAAGTCCTAATCAAGCTGAATTAGGATTATCACTGGGCTAAACAATCAGTCTACCAAAAGCTGTTGCACAATGCTCTTTCCTGACACCTGACCATTTTTTAGTGTTCGCCAAACTTGCTTTACAATCTTAAGAGTCTCCAGCCAAGCCGGGTGCGGTGGTTCACGCCTGTAATCCCCGCACGTTGGGAGGTGGAAGCAAGAGGATTGCCTGAGTCCAGGGTTCGAAACCAGCCTGGGCAATTTGGTGAGACCTCATCTCTACAGTAAATTTTTTTTTTTAAAGTGAGCCTGGTATGGTGGCATCCCCCTGTACTTCTTGGAAGGCGAGGTCTCACTATGTTGCCCAGGCTGATCTCAACTAGTCCCAGCTAGTTGGGAGGGTGAGACAGATGAATCACCTGAACCCAGCAGGTCAGGACTATGGTGGCTGTGTGCATGCCATTGCACTCCAGCCTGGGCAACAGAGTGAGACTCCCACTGGGGGGAAAAAATTAGTGCTTATCTGAAATCCATCAGCAGGTCATCAGGTCTCTCACCTTTGTCAAGAGAAAAGATGCCTCTTCCTGAGATGGGCCTGACAGATCCTTACCCTAATTCTATACTACTAGGTTTGTCTGTGCAGGCACTCCTATGGAACTTGGTGCAGGAATGATCTCCCGCAAGAGTGGTCAAGTGACTGGCAGTGGTAGGAGACTGTCAGGGGCGGGGGGGGTGGAATTGGCAGTTGAGGGAAACTGCTAGGGGAAGGAGGGGCATACCTCATCAACAAGGGTACCTGCATGATCAATGTTTATATACCTAACCCTGAAATGTACCCCGCATCTTTATAATAAAAATTTTTTAAAAAAGAGTGGTCATGGTGGACAACAGATCTGGGCCTCCTTTCTTAGCACTATGAATGCCTTCAGAGAAGAGCAAAAGTGTGTGGTTTATCTGAAAACAGCCCTCTAGACGTGATCAGCATCGCTTCTTGTCTAATCTTCCTTTCTTGGAACATTTAATTGTCTCTCAGGACTTCCAAGGAAAACAAAATAGGAATTGGGAGGCAGAGGCAGGAGGATAGCCTGGGCCCAGGGATTTGAGACCGGCCTGGAAAACTTGGCAAGACCCTGTCTCTACAATAAATCAAAAAATTAGCTGGGTGTGGTGGCGTGCACCTGTAGTCCCAGCTACTTGGAAGGTTGAGAAGGAAGGATTGCCTGAGTCCAACAGGTCGAGGCTGTGGTGAGTTGTGATCCTGCCACTGCACTCCAGCCTGGGTGACAGAGTAAGACCCCGACAAACCAAAAAACAAAAAACCTTCCAGGTGCTTCTGTTTCACTTAGGAAGAATCTAAACCCCTTTCTTTGGTCTCTAAGCATGGACATGCTCTGACACTTGCTTGGTTTTGGGCCTGATATCCTCATCTCTTCCCCTCTTGCAATCCAGGGGCACACTGACCTCCATTCTGTTCTTCAGATGCTCCAAGCTTATCCCCACATCTGTGTTTTTTTTTTTTTTTTGCTTTGTCTTGGTTTTTGAAGCAGAAGTCTCACTCTGTCACCCAGGCTGGAGTGCAGTTTGAAGAAGAAAACCATCACAGTTTAAAGCCTCAACCTCCTGAGCTCAGGCGATCCTTCTGCCTCAGCATCCCAACTAGCTAGGACTGCAGGCATGCACCACCACACCTGGCTAAGTTTTTTTGTCTTTTTGTAGAGATGAGGTCTCGCTATATTGCCCAGGCTGGTCTCCAACTCCTGGCCTCAAGCAGTCCTCCTGCCTCAGCCTCCCAAAGTACTGGGATGACAGGTGTGAGCCACTTCAGTGTTTTTGTACCTGCCTCTACCTACCCCAGCGTGCATTCACTACAGAGCCTCATGGCACCCAGGCCTCCCAAAGCCTTCTCTGACCACCCAGCACTCCCAGGACACCTTCTTTCACTCCTGCTCTGTTTCCTAGCTCTCACCACCTTCTGATATGATCTCATTCGTGGATGTATATATCCAAGAGGGCGGGGAATGTGTCTGTCTTGTTTACCGATAGCTCTCCAGCTCCTACAGAACAGGGCCTAGGATAGGGGTGTGTTTAAATATGTGGTGGACGAGTAGATGCATTAAGTCTAGCTGAGGCCTGGAGCTCACGACACACCCACTAGTGTGAACGTCTGCTCACTCCCTGCCCAGAATTCTCCCTACGCCCGGCTCTTTCCTTTCTCTGAGTGTCTTCCTGTTCTGCAGCCAGCAGGCCATGTTTTGCGGTTGGATGCAGCCTATTCTAAAACTGAAACTCCTGATCAGGCCTCCTCCCATGTGTCACTCGGCTTCACCCTCACCCAGTGAGCCTCACTTTGTTTTTTTTGTTTGTTTTTGTTTTTTGGGGTTTTTTGGAGTTGGAGTCTCACTCTGCCGCCCAGACTGGAGCGCAGTGGCTCACTCCCGGCCACCGCAGCCTCGAGCTGCTGGGCTCTGGCGATCCTCCCACCTCAGCCTTCCAAGTAGCCGGAATTACAGGCACGCGCCACCACGCCCAGTTAATTTTTGATTTATTGTAGAGACGAGGTCTCGAACCTGCAAGCTCAGGCAATCCACTTGCCTCGGCCTCCCAGAGTGCTGGGATTACAGGCTGAGCTACTGAGCCCAGCCTCGCTTTGTTTTTTAATTAATTCTTTTGCTTTCAAAATCAGACTCTCACTCTGTGACCCAGGCTGGAGTGCCGTGACACCATCATGACTCACCCCAGCCTCGACCTTCAGGGCTCAAGTGATCCTCCCGCCTCAGTCTCCCCACCTTCACTTTCTGTAAAAGCTGCTCTTACCCAAAGGAGGAGGGTTGGTGGGCTTAGCGTCCTCTTTGGCCCAGCCGTGTCACCCCTGTGTACCAGTGTCCGGCACCTCCCTCCTGTGTCAGGCAGGAGACGGGCTGGGGTGGGGAATGGCCTGTGACTCTCGAAGGGGTATGTGTGCTTTGCGTGGAGTGGCATAAATAAAGAGACACAGCCAAGGGGAAGGCGTGTATTTAAAACTCCTCCCCTTCGTTTTCTTCTTCAAAGGAGTCGGTCCCCACTTCTTCGTAATCCTTCTCCAGGGCGGCCAGGTCCTCCCTGGCCTCAGAAAATTCTCCTTCTTCCATTCCCTCGCCAACATACCAATGCACAAAGGCCCGCTTGGCGTACATGAGGTCAAACTTGTGGTCGAGGCGGGCCCAGGCCTCCGCGATCGCTGTGGTGTTGCTCAGCATGCACACGGCCCGCTGGACCTTGGCCAGGTCCCCTCCGGGCACCACGGTGGGTGGCTGGTAGTTGATGCCCACCTGAGGAACAGAGACAGGGGAGGGGCCGGACAAGAAGATGCAGGTCAGCCAGAGGATAACTCAAGACGGGGGCAACACGGTGCAGCTGCAAGACAAGGTCACGGGTGTGGGAATGGGACTACGGGAGGCATGTGGAAATAAGGTGGTGGGGAGCTGGGGAAGCCGGCAGGTGGAGGAGGCGAGAGCCAAAGAGAAAGAAGAAGCAGGGTGGGGGCAACGTAACACGACCTTGTCTCTGCAAAAAAGTGAAAAATTAGCCGGGTGTGGTGGCACATGCTGGTAGTCCCAGCTACTCGGGAGGCTGAGGTGGGAGGATGGCTTGAACCCAGGAGTTTGAGGCTGCGAAGAGCTGTGATCACACCACTGCCCTCCATCAGAGGTGACAGAGCAAGACTCTGTGCCTCTCTCTCTCTTTCTCTCTCTCTCTCTGAGGCTGCAATGAGCTGTGATTGTGCCACTGCACTTTAGCCAAAAAACAAAAATCCTTCCAGATGCTGTGTTTCGCTTAGGAAGAATCTAAACTCTAAATTATCTAAATCTAAAGTATGTATTTAAAGCAGGTGGATTGGGTACAGGTGAATTCAAGGGGAAGGCTAGAGAAGAGAATGAGGCTGCTAATAGGGAGAAATGTCGGCAGAGGCAGCAAGTAGGCAAATGAGAATCCTGAGCGCAATCTTGACTAGGTGGGAGGGGTCTCGTGCATTTCCTTTTTGAAGCAAATCCATTTCTAGACTTAAAGTTATTGGAAAGTTTACCCTTAGGCCAGGCACAGTGGCTCACGCCTATAATCCCAGCACTTTGGGAAGCCAAGGCGGGCAGACTGCTAGAGCCCAGGAGTTCGAGACCAGCTTGGGCAACATGGCGAGACCTAGGCTCTTCAGAAACATTTAAAAACTAGCCGGGCATGGTGGTGTATGCATGTAGCCTCAGCTTCTCGCCGGCTGAGACGGAAGGATCGTCTGACCCAGGAAGCCTGTTGTGAGCAGTGATCGTCGTGATCATGGCACAGTTTCTAGCACTCCAGCCTGGGCGACATAGTGAGAACTTGACTCAAAAAAAAAAAAAAAAGTTGATTCTTTCCCAAGTGGCCATCTGAATTTGCTCTTGGTTGTGTGGCCAATTGATTTAGGGAAGTTGCTCTGCCATGGGTGAAGGGCTATTGAAGAGGTCCTGGGAATGTTCCAGAGCAGTAAACAAAATGGGACAAAAGCCCCAGGAATGGTGTTGGGAATATCAGCCTCCAGGTTTTTGGGAATAGGGGCTTCTTAGAAGAAAAGCGGGGACTCCAGTCCAAGAAAGTTAGTTTAAGATCTTGCCCGAAAGAGCCAGCTTCCCAAGTTCTGGTAGCAGTCGGGGTCTTCCAGGCTAATCCAGCCCCATCCTATGGTGGGGGTGGCTTTCCCAGAAATGTTTCTTCTTCCCACACTCATATCCCAAACCAAAGCCAACCCCAGAAACTGTGGGAAACTGGGAGAAGTCTAAGATGACAAACTGTGATATTATTCATGGAACACTGAGACCCATGGTGATGTCCAAAACTACCTCTCCTACCCAGGCCCCTGTCCCTTAATTGCCAGTCTCTCAAATTCATAGCTTTTTTTAAAAATCAGAGTCTCACTATGTCACACAGGCTGGAATATAGTGGTTTGCTCATGGCCACTGCAGCCTCAACCTGCTGGGCTCAGGTGATCCTTCTGTCTCAACCTTCCAAGTAGCTGGAACCATAGGCATGTACCACCATGCCCAACTAACTTTTTTATTTATTGTAGAGACGAGGTCTTGCCAAGTTGCCCAGGCTGGTCTCAAATCCCTGTACTCAGGCAACCCTCTCGCCTCTGCCTCCCAAAGTGCTGGAATTACATGCGTGAGCCACCGCACCCAGCCAAATTCATAGTTTTTAAATGTGTGTCCTCTTGGGCCAGGCCCAGTGGCTCACGCTTGTCATCCTAGTACTTTGGGAGGCTGAGGCAGGAGGATTGCTTGAGACCAACAAGTTCAAGATCAGCCTGGGCAACATAGTAACACCTCATCTCTACTACGATAAATAAATAAACAAGCAAATAAATGTATGTCTTCTTGACATGCGGGGGGATGGGAGTGGCAGCAGGCCATGGCCATCAAATGAATCCACAAAATTCTATGATTCCTCTTGGACACAAGTGGCGTCTGGGTGGTGGAGGTGACACTGGGGTAGGGCAAAGGACCAAAAGCGAGAGGGGGAAAGGCAATGACTATGAACTTGGCCACATCCCATGTTTTGCTAGATCTGGCCCTGACCTTGTGCCTGGAGCCAACGCACCCTCTTCTAAGCAATAACATCCTTGACCCAAGTCAAGTGGGAACAAAAGCCCTAGGAGAGAATTCCAGAGGCTGAAGCTTATCAACTTGTACTTTTCTGAAAAGCAGCTAAAGTTTATGCCCACACCACCTTCTTTATCTCTCTGGACATAGCCCCAGAGGTTCAACTTAAAGGAGGGAAGATGAAGGGACTTCTTTTTTTGGTGAATTCCCCCATCACCTCCTGATTTTTTCTCTTTTTCTCCCTACTCATTCTCCTACAACCTTGTTGTGCTGTTGGTTTCCATTTGAATGACCAAAACAAACTCCATTTTTTGGAAGATCTTGACTGGTTTTGCCAGAATGACCAAAGCTGCCACATAAAAATAGGCATAGTCTGGGGGGAAAAGAGGATGTGGTGTGTGTAGCTAGGAGCAGAGCAGCGAGAAAGATTATTTCACTGCCTTGCTTGGCAGGGAACTGCTGGGTCAAAGCCGTACCCTGAGAGGTTACCCACGAGGCTGGCAGACAGTGCCTCACTTTGTAATTCCCGCCATGTAACATGTTCACCTCCTTATCTCCAGCAATTGGCACAAGTCCTGGGACATAACAGGTGTTCAGCAAACCCTTGAATTATTAACAGCAAGACTAGAGGGTGCTAACTAACATGATTAGTTACTGTGGTGGTGGGACCTAACAGAAGACCCCAGGCTAAGTGGTCAAGCCATTCACGTGCTGTGTCAGGTTACATGACCGGCCCAGTCCAGCTCAAAGAGGTGACTTCTAACATTCAACATTCCCAAGTTTGGAACCCCGGGTCTTCCCTGGGTATTCTGTCCTTCCACACTAACTCTCAGATTCTGGCATTTTTCAGACCACAGACATCTGGTCTACCACTGGTCACTCAGCTCTGGTTTTTGCTCCTGGTTAGTGATAATGAAAAATGTCAGGGCTTCATAATATGTGAGCCACAATCACATAACAACTATAAAATCCTCTTGTTGTTACTTCAAATTGACTAAGACTTAAAGGATAGAAATTTAATTTTTCAAGCTAAATTAGGAGAACACATCTTTCATTAGAGGAGGAAATTATACTTCTCTAGAAATTTGAATAGTCTGGTTAATTCTAAAATGAAAAAGAAGCCAGGCACGGTGGCTCACGCCTGTAATCCCAACACTTTGGGAGGTGGAGGTGAGAGAATTGCCTGAGTCCAGGGATTCGAGACCAGCCTGGGCAACTTGGCGAGAGCTCATCTCTGCAATAAATCAAAAAATTAGTTAGGCATGGTGGCGCATGCCTGTAGTTCCAGCTACTAAGAAGGTTGAGGCCGTGAGCATGCCACTGCTCTCCAGCCTGGGTGACAGAGTGAGACTCTGATCAAAAAAAAAAAAAAATTTTAAATGGTTACAAAATCACGATGCACCAGAAAGTGTAAAATATCCATTAAAATGAACTTTAGGCAAACTAAACTGAGTCATGAACCCCAAAAACTTTGTTATTCGGGTCAATAGATCTAGAACAATACCAAATCAATATTTATTCCTCAGTAATCCAAATCAAAGGTGTCTGACCAATTAACCAATTAAAAATAGTACCAGGGGCCTGGTCCTGTGGCTCACGTCTATAATCCCAGCACTTTGGGAGGTGGAGGCAAGAGGATTGCCTGAGCCCAGGGGTTCGAGACCAGCCTGAACAACATGGTGAGACCTCGTCTCTATGATAAATCAAAAATTTAGCTGGACAGGGTGGCGTGCGCCTGTAGTTCCAGCTACTTGGAAGGCTGAGGCAGAAGGATCTCCTGAACTCAGCAGGTCAAGTCACGGTGGCTCACGCCTATAATCCCAGCACTTTGGGAGGCCGAGGCAAGAGGACTGCCCAAGCCCAGGAGTTCAAGACCAGCCTGGGCAAAATGGCAAGACTTTATCTCTACAATGAATTAAAAAAAAAAAATTAGCCAGGCGTGGTGGCACACACCTATACTTCCAGCTACTTGGAAAGCTGAAGTGGAAGGACTGCCTGAGCCCAGCAGGTCAAGACTGTGGTGACCATGAGTGTGCCACTGCACTCCACCCTGGGAGACAGAGTGGGATTCTGACTCAAAAAAAAAAGTAAAAAAGTAAAGAAAAAAATTTTAAAAAGTAGCAACAGGCTGGTGTGGTTGTTCATGTCTGTAATCCCGGCATTTTGGGAGGCTGAGGCAGGAGGGTTGTTTAAGCCCAGGAGTTTGAGACCAACGTGGGAAACATAATGAGACCTTCTCTCTACAAAAAAATTAAAACATTAGCTGAGCGTGGTGGAGTGCACCTCTGGTCTCAGCTACTCTGGAGGCTGAGGCAGAAGGATCGCCTGAGCCCAGGAGCTCAAGGCTGTGGTGAACCATGATCATGCCACTACACTTTAGCCTGGACGACGTTGTGAGACCCTCAACTCAAAACTAAAATATAAGCCGGGTACAGTGACTCACGCCTGTAATCTCAGCACTTTGGGAGGCAGAAGACAAGAGAATTGCCTGAACCCAGGGTTCGACACCAGCCTGGGCAACTTGGCGAGACCTCATCTCTACAGTACATTTTTTAAAAAAAAAATGAGCCAGGCGTGGTGGTGCGGGCCTGTGGTTCCAGCTACTTGGAAGGCTGAGGCAGAAGGATCGCCTGAGCTGGGCAGATCAAGGCTGCGGTGGCCATGAGTTTGCCATTGCACTTCAGCCTGGGCAACAGAGTGAGACTCTGACTCAAAAATAAATTAATTAATTAAATAAAGTAGCACCAAACTTTTCTAAAATGGATTAAAGCTACTATACTTATGCGGCATTTGTGCCTCAATCAAAGCAGAATTAAGCTAGCATCCCATCTGGCTTGAGTCCCATATCACCACATACAGTCGGAAGCACTCAGGGATTAGGCAAGCAGTCCTCCCCGTGGCTTTGTCATCCCCTTCCCTCTGCTCTTGTTATCCATTCCCTTCCTAAGGCGTCCGCTCTCACCTTGAAGCCTGTGGGACACCAATCCACGAACTGGATGGTCCTCTTGGTCTTGATGGCGGCAATGGCGACATTCACATCCTTGGGCACCACGTCCCCCCGGTAGAGCATACAGCAGGCCATGTACTTGCCGTGTCTCGGGTCGCACTTCACCATCTGGCTGTTGGGCTCAAAACAGGAGCTGGTTATCTCGGCCACGGAGAGCTGTTCGTGGTAGGCTTTCTCGGCGGAGATGATGGGCGCGTAGGTGACCAGCGGGAAGTGGATGCGGGGGTAGGGCACCAGGTTGGTCTGGAACTCAGTGAGGTCCACGTTGAGCGCCCCGTCAAAGCGGAGGGAAGCGGTGATGGAGGACACGATCTGGCTGATGAGGCGGTTGAGGTTGGTGTAGGTGGGGCGCTCGATGTCCAGGTTCCTGCGGCAGATGTCATAGATGGCTTCATTATCCACCATGAAAGCGCAATCGGAATGTTCCAGGGTGGTGTGGGTGGTCAGGATGGAGTTGTAGGGCTCAACAACCGCGGTCGAGACCTGGGGGGCCGGGTAGATGGCAAACTCCAGCTTGGACTTCTTGCCATAATCCAGGGAGAGGCGTTCCATCAGCAGGGACGTGAAGCCAGAGCCGGTGCCCCCGCCAAAACTGTGGAAGATCAGGAAGCCCTGCAAGCCAGAGCAAGCGTCTGTCTGGGGAGAGGAGGGCGTGAGAGGAAATCTTGAAGACAAACGAGGTTCTGAGAACAGCCCCCAGGGGAACAAAGTCAAGCAACCCACGCTCTTCCCTCCCTAACCCTCAACATTTTCATGTGGTGAAATCCTAATGGCTTTGAAACAGTACGGAAACAAACAAAAGTGGTGGTATGCATCTCAGGAGGAGTGGCTACGGTATGAGATGACAAACCACACAGGCACATGCCTCTGAGTCCGTGAAGACTTCAGCCCAGCAGCTTGGTTGAACCAGGGATGAGAGTTTCAGAATCACTGTGGTGAGTGACCTTGACCTTTGAGCACCCCCGTTCCTTGTCCACTTCCCCTGCCCTTGTCATCTAATTTTGTGGGAACTGCTCCTGACACATCTCAGCCCAACCTTGGAAGGTGATTCAGGGCACCAATTTCAGCAATGGAGACAGAGTCAGAGAACTTGAGTTCTTTTTTTTTTTTTTTTGAGTCGGAGTCTCACTCTGTCGCCCAGACTGGAGTGCAGTGGCCACTCCCGGCCACCGCAGCCTCGGCCTGCTGGGCTCCGGCGATCCTTTCGCCTCAGCCTTCCAAGGAGCTGGAACTTCAGGCGCGCGCTACCACACCCGGCTAGTTTTTGATTTATTGTAGAGATGAGGTCTCGCCAAGTTGCCTGGGCAGGTCACGAACCCGCGGGCTCAGGCAATCCTCCCACCTAGGCCTCCCAAAGTGCTGGGATTACAGGCTGAGCCACTGAGCCCGGCCAGAACTTGAGTTCTGATATCAACTTTGCCACTTTCTGGTTGTAAAAACATGGGCAAGTTACTGAGCCTCTCCAAACTCTGTTCCTTCTTGGTTAAAGTGGGGGCAATAAAAAATCCTTCTCTTAGAAGGCTATTGGGATAATTAAATGAGATTGCATGGTGTGCTGGCGAGGACCTGACATGTAATAAACACTTTGTGTTAGCTCGTATTGGAATGCAGAATCACAGAATGTTCCCACTGGGTGTGATATGAATTTGAGAGGGGCACAGATGGCTTTAAAACTTATGACCCCTACGAGCCCCTCCTCTAAACAGAAAAAAGTGAACATCTGCAGAAAGGTGGCATCCTTAGCTCCCAGATGAAGAATCTCAATCAAGTCCAACCTGCCCACTGCACAGGCAGGCAAATGGGAGCGTAAGGAGACAAAGTGACTCAACCTACAACTCCGAGCTTTGTAGTCAAACCAACACAGTTCAATTCTACCGCTTTCTAGCTGGGTGACCCAGGCTAAGTCATTGAACCACCCTGGTCCTCAATTTCTTTTCCTGTAAAGTATAGAGAAGAGACCTCCCTTGTGTCATTATTAAGGATTAAATGGAGAAATGCATTTAACACTTGAAATGGCTTTTGTAAGTGCTCAAACGTATCACCCATCTCTCTCTCTCCTCTCCCAAGTCAAAGGCTTTGTTAAACTATGCTTCCACCAAGCAAAGACCTCAGCCTTCCTCATACCTAGATTCCTCATTCCCCCAGATACTACCATTGAGTGTCAATAAGTATGACTAGGGCATCAGTCTATAATGTAGTCTGTGATGCCAAGGTGGGAGAAAGGGCATCGTCTGTGTGATGGCTTCTTACCAAACAAAAGTAGAAATCTTCAAACCTTAGGATCTCCATCCTGTTGCTGGGGTCATATACCTCTGACCTGAGGTCAGAGATGTGAGTCCAGGCTTGTTCACTCTAACCTGAGTCAAAAACCCCTGACCTTTTTTTTTTTTTTTTTTTGAGTCAGTGTCTCACTCTTGTCGCCCAGGTTGAAGTGCAGTGGCATGATCACAGCTCACCACAGCCTTGACATCCTAGGCTCAGGCGAATCTTCCACCTCAGCCTCCTGAGTAGCTGGAACTACAGGTGCATGTCACCACATCCAGCTAATTTTTTTTGTAGAGTCAAGTTCTTGCTAGGTTGCCCAGACTGGTCTCGAACTCCTGGACTCAAGCGATCCTCCCTCCTTGGCCTCCAAAGGTGCTGGGATTACAGATGTGAGCCATCCCACTGCCCTCCCAACCCTTCTTGACATTTACCAGCTTCCGTATGCGGTCCAGCACCAGGTCGATGCTCTCCTTGCCCACTGTGTAGTGACCCCGGGCATAGTTGTTAGCTGCATCCTCCTTTCCAGTGATCAGCTGCTCGGGATGGAAAAGCTGGCGGTAAGTTCCTGCCCGAACCTCATCTGCCAAGAGAAGGAGACCATTAGGTCCTGCCACCTGATCTCCAGGGGAGAAGCATCCCTTCCCAGTAGACAACCACATGACACTCTTCTGGTTTCCCCTACCTATAAAATACCACCAAGCTCAAACCCTATAATAAGTCTGCAAAAGGCTAAGAGAATTCCTGGGTAGCAGAGGTACGAACAGAGCCAGGGCCTGTGGGTCAGGCAGGCAGTGAGAAGCCAGATGCTCTGCTGGCTGGGACTTTAAAAAGCCTTAGCTTTGCCACGTGCAGTGGCTCACACCTGTCATCCTAGTTCTTCAGGAGGCTGAGACAAGAAGATTGCTTGAGACCAGGAGTTCAAGACCAGCCTGAGAAACAGAGTGAGACCTCATTTCTATCAACAAGAAAAAATTAGCTGGGCATGATGGTACACACTTATAATAATCTAGCTACCAGGGAGGCTGAGGAGAAGAATCGTCTGAGCCTAGGGGGTCAAGTCTGTGGTGGCCGTGATCACTCCAACCTGAGTGACAGAGTGAGAGCCCGACTCAAAAAGAAAAGTCTTAGCTTTTCAAAGCTCACCAAGCACCAGAGTTATTACTTCTCCTTCCTTCACCTTGACCCTTCAAGGCTTCCCTTTTGTTCTTTTCTTTCATGCTGCAAGGTTATCCCTAATACCATAATACAATGTCTTTTTTCTTTTTTTAGCTGGAGTCACTGTGTTGCCCAGGCTGGAGTGCAGTGGCACATTCACTGCCACCCCAGCACCAACCCGCTGGGCTCTGGCAATCCTTCCACCTCAGCCTTTCAAGTACCGGGAACTACAGGCGCACACCACCATGAACTACAGGCTCACGTTACCATGCCCGGCTAATGTTTTTATTTATTGTAGAGACCAGGTCTCACCAAGTTGCCTGGGCTGGTCTCAGATCTGTGAGCTCAGGCAATCCACTCGTCTCGGCCTCCCAAAGTGCTGGAATTACAGGCTAAGCCACTGAGCCTGGCCCAATAATGTAATTTCATGTGCATTAAAATTTCTAGGGACCCAGATCCTGGCCCTCCCAGGACCTGTCCCACCTCTCACTTCCACCTCCATGTGGCAATAATAAAAGCCAGGCATTGGACATACTTTGGAGTGACTTTGAAGCAAAGCTGTGCTCCGGGTCTTAGAGAAGCAAAAGCCCTGGAGAGGTTTACAAGGGGGCTCTGCTCACCTCCAAGGGTCTATGCTAAATAGACCAAGAGGCATCAAGCCCCAACAATATCACCTCCTCTTTTCAGGGTTCCTCCGTTCCCTCCACCCCCACAGAAAATCATCCACTTATGCAGCAGCCTGGGAGGGTAGGCTGTGCTTTCTGCATTTGTACAAAGCATGCAGAGTGGGGAGTGCCTGTTGCCTGTTGCTACTAGAAATTCGTGCTCAGTTGGTGAGACCTTATCTCTACAATAAATCAAAAAATTAGCCAGGCATGGTGACGCCCAACCCTAACCCTAACCCTAACCCTAATCCTAATGTTAAGCGAGCAAAGATCTTTATCCCATTAGACAAGTCATTTCTTTATTAGAATAGCTCTTCAAACTCACTCTTGCAACAACTCTGTAGTTCCAGCTATATGGAAGGTTGAGGCAGAAGGATTGCCTGAGCCCAACGGGCTGAGGCTGCGGTGGCTGTGAGTGTGCCACTACACTCCAGGCTGGGTGACAGAGTGAGACTCTGACTCAAAAAAAAAAAAAATTCATGCTCAGGCATCTGCCCCGATGCCTCTGGGAACTGTCCACCTCTTGCTTGATGAGCCAGCCTTGTAACTGAGGAAATCCTGATATTTAACTGAGAATTGGCCCAGGGGCCAGACCCAGGGGAAGTGATGCCACTGGGAGCGGGGGCAGGGGGAGGCTTGCAGGGGGGAGGGACTGCCCATCGGGAAATAAGCCCCTGCACAAGTCAGAATTCCTCTGTGTTTTCCTAAACCAGAATGAGCTTCACTCTAGAACTTCAGCACTCCCCAGCTGTGAAAAAATGTGCCTGCTGTCATACCATTCTGTGTGTGACACACTGCAAGGTTATACCAGACCCAGGAAGACAGACCACAATCATTACAGAATCAGAAACCTAAGCTGGGCACGATGGCTCATGCCTGTAATCCCAGCACTTTGGGAAGCTGAGGCAGGAAGATCACTTGAGGCCAGCAGTTTGAAACCGGTCTCGGTAACATAGCAAGACTCCATCTCTGCAACAAATTTTTAAAAATTAGCTGGCTGTGGCAGTGCGTACCTATAGTCCCAGCCACTGGGAGGCTGAGGCAGGAGGATCACTTGAGCCCAGGAGTTCGAGGCTGCAGTGAGCTATGATTACACCTCTGCACTCCAGCCCAGAGAACAGAGTGAGACCTTGCCTCTAAAAAAATAAAAAAACCTATACTTTGGAAATTGACTATTTTAGGGTCTTCTTATAATTTCCAAAATTATCTGGAATTTTTTATCCTTAGTATTTAGTAACAGTCTTGACCATTTCAGTCTTTCAGCAGGTTTAAGAGGCTTTGTGTGTTTGTTTTGTTAATTTTTGAGTCAGAATCTGCTGGAGTGCAGGCATGATGACAGCTCACTATAGCCTCAGGCAGTCCTCCTGCCTCAGCCTCCCAAGTAGCTGCGACTACAGGTGCCCAGCTCTTATTTTGATTTTTTGTAGAGAGGAGGTCTTACTATGTCGCCTAGGCTAGTCTCGAACTTCTGGGCTCACACAATCCTCCCACCTCAGCCTCCCAAAGTGTGGGGAACACAGATGTGAGCCACTGTACCCTGCCAGGTTTAAGAGGTTCAAGCAGAGGGTACTTTGTTTCACATAGATGATTGATCGCTGTTATGAGATTGCCCCAAGACCATGGCGATCCCAAGGACCTGACAGGTCATATGGGGTAGGAGGCTTTGACTGAGCCACCTCTACCTTCCAGTTAGAGATTCTGTCTAGTCTCTAACTGGCCATCGAAAGCCAATGCCTCTGTGGTCTCGTCTTGTTTTCTCTGGAGAGGGCCTTGGCCCAAACTCACCCACTACAGTAGGTTCCAAATCTATCATGACAGCCCGGGGCACGTGCTTCCCGTTGCCAGTCTCGCTGAAAAAGGTGGTGAAGGAGTCATCATCGTTGATCTTGCTGGCTTGAGCATCAAAGGTGCCATCTGCCTGGATGCCGTGTTCCAAGCAGAAGAGCTCCCAGCAGGCATTGCCAATCTGAACTCCCGCTTGGCCCACGTGGACGGATATGCACTCCCGCTATGGAGAGAGTGCAGCATCAAGGTCAGAGAGCCACAGGCCACCCAGCCACGGCTCTGCCTTCCATCCCCCACACATCAGAACGTGTCTGTCACTGGCATTCAACTTGCAGGCTTTCCAGTCGCCCAGCCATGCCACCCCGTTGCCAGGAGGTGTCTGAGGTTTCAGGGGCCTGGCGCTGTTGCAGCCAGACCAGGACTTGGCTCCAGAGAAGACACAGTTAGCCAGGCATGGTGGCTTATGCCTGTAATCCCAGCACTTTGGGAGGCTGAGGCGAGAGGATTGCCTGAGCTCAGGGGTTCGAGACCAACCTGGGCAACATGATGAGACCCTGTCTCTGCAATCAAATAAAAAAATTAGCAGAACTTGGTAGAGTGCGCCTGTAGTCCTAGTTACTTGGAAGGATCGCCTGAACCCAGCAGGTCAAGGCTGTGGTGGTCATGAGTGTGCCGCTGCACTCCAGTCTGGGTGACAGTAAAAAAAAAAAAAAGACAGTTGTTTTGTGCTTTGCTCTAAAGAGAGTTGCTTCCCAGGGTTATACTTATACTAGGAAAATTCCTTATACTAGGAAAAGAAAAAAAGCAGCTGCAGAGATGAAAAGAGGCAAATTCCAAACCATAAAACTCCGGCATGGGTAAAGAAGGCCCAAGGAGAACTGGTCATTATGGCAGAAACTATCCCTCAATATACTACCACATACAGAGGCAGTGTTGACATTCGTTCCAAAGTCTGATTTTCTGAGACATCTCTCTCTCTCTCTCTCTCACATACAAACACACACACACACACAAATAGCAAATGAATACTCACAAAAGAAACATGCTCTGCAAGTACATATCATGGGTAGGTGTCAGTGTTTTGGTTACAAACATGGAAATAAGACAGGATTGGTACATCAGCAAGGGAAGCTTGGGAGGGTATAAATTAGGCTTTTCCTGAATGCTGAGATGCTGAGAAGCTGGAAAATCTTTGTAGTCACCATAACCTTGCTCCCTAGCCCATGCCAGGCCATGTGTTAAATCAAGCGAACCCTTGGAATGTCCTTCATCTCTGTGTTACTCTTTTTTTTTTTTTTTTTGAGTAGGAATCTCACTACTGTCAGCCTGTCTCCCAGGCTGGAGTGCAGTGGCACACTCACAGCCACCATAGCCTCAACCTGCTGAGTTCAGGCTATCCTTCTGCCTCAGCCTTCCAAGTAGCTGGAACCACAGGTGCACATCACTGTGCCCAGCTAATTTTTTTATTTTTTTGTCGAGACAAAGTTTTGTCAAGTTTCCCAGGCTGGTCTCGAATTCCTGGGCTCAGGCAGTTGTCTTGCCTCAGCCTCCCAAAATGCTGAGCATACAGGTGTGAACCACCATGCCCGACCATCTCTGTGTTACTCTGCTGTGAAGCTACAATTGTCTGATTTGTCCTAGTACCAACAGCTTAAGATGGCAAGTGTATCAAGTAATCAAGTATCCGAAAGAGAGAGAGAGAGAGAGAGAGAGAGAGAGAGAGAGAGAGAGAGAAAAGAAACCTACCGTGAAGTTTCCCTGGGAAGATGGACTCATCACCCCACCCACGCCTTGCCTGGGGGGACACAGTGGCCCACAGGAGGTGGCTCAGTGCCTGTGGTACCTGCCAGAGACCACCAGGGAAGCATGTGCCCAGCCTGTGGGTTTCTATTCTTATCCATGACCTGACTTGGCATCTTATCCATGACCTGACTTGGCATTTTCCAGCTCGGGTAACCCAAGCCAGGAGCAGAGCCTCCAGGGAACATGGCTGGGCACAGAGGTAAGTGGAGTCCACGTTCAAGCGCAGGGCTCCTGGGAACTTGTTAGTTTCTCTGGGCATGGTGAGTGGGGCAGCTGCCCTGGGGAACGTCTCGAAGTCTCAGAGGTGTCAGGACCTGTTGCTCCCGAATGCAGTTTTACAACTGAGCTCTGGTTCTACACCTTGAGTTGAGTGTCAACCCTTGCCTTCGGGGTGGTTAGGGTCCAGATATTCACAGCAGCCAGCATGTAACACAGTCCGACACAGATGTGACTTGGCTGTACTTACATGAGCCCGGTGACCAGGGAAAAGCTTCACTCACAAGGTTGCCCACACCCAAGAGTTCTCTTGCCTTCTCAATGTACTTGCTGTGCTGTGCGGCCTTGGCTGGGTTCCTTAACCTCTCCTTGTCAGAAAAATCATGCTAGCTGTGAATGTTGTGGCTATTTCTGTCTTTACCATGTATCATTTTCATCGTGATGCTACCTTGTAGCTTTTTTCTCCACTGGAAAGAAGCCCATTTAGAAAGTTAGAGATCTTCTGTCCTTTATGTGGGGTCTATCTCAGGACTCCACTCAGGTCTAAGAAAAGCAGCATTCTGAGGTGAGTGGATTGCCCGAGCCCGCGGATTTGAGACCCAGGCAACTTGGCGAGACCTCGTCTCTACAATAAATCAAAAATTAGCTGGGCGTGGTAGTGCGCACCTGTAGTTCCAGGTACTTGCAAGGCTGAGGTGGAAGGATCGCTGGAGCCCAGCAGGCTGAGGCTGCGGTGGCCGTGACATGCCACTGTCCTCCAGCCTGGGTGAAGGAGTGAGACTCCAACTCAAAAAAAAAAGCGGCATTCTACAACCAGGAAGCACGCCACCACCAGCGAGTTAGCAGCCCAGACCACATCGTGACCCTCAGCACGCAGCCGTGGCTTCTTTGGGAGGTGTCTGAAGCTGAGGGGACACTGGAGAGGCCTGAGGGAGTCACCCAATTGCCCTCCAGTCCTATCTGTGGTACTGTTTGGCTCCCAGCCTGTCTTCCCTTCTGGAACATTCTAGGGTTTTCCTGGGAGAATGCAGGGATACTTCAGGAAGCTCATGGGGGAAAGAGTCAAGAGTCTTGGGGACCTGAAGACCACCAATGTGGTGATAGCCATGTCTTTAGCCTGTTTGGATGCTATTTTTAATCTCATACTAATATGCCTATCTTCATAAAATCTCTCTCTTTCTGTGTGTGTGTGTGTCTCTCTCTCTCTCTCTCTCTCACACACACACACACACACACACACACACACACACACACACACACCCCTTAGGAAGAGCTAATTTCCCCACTAAACTAATTCACAAGAGTAATTGGAGGTACAAAATAGACTCCGAAATGGCAGAAGACTCCATAGGTGCTCCCAAAAGCCAAAAGCAGTTACACCAGTCAAGAGAGCAAGAACGCCTTTCAATACTGTTCCCCACAAAAGGGAACCAAGACTCCTTGGAGAAACGGAGGTTTCCAGGTCTGGGGTGAGGATCACAAGATGAGCCTGGAACATCTTACAGAGCCTGCAGGCACAGAAGCTAACAAAGACTAGGGTGACGGCTTGGCCACCCGGAAGAGGCTCCCGCTGCAAAAGAGGAGACCATCTGAGCATCGAAAAGAATGACACTACTCGATTAAAGCCAGAAATACATATAGAAATCCACAAGTCCTTACTATTACTTTAAAAAGAAACGAGAGAAAATCTTGTGTGTCCCCATCCACATGGCCCTGTTCATTAGGAAAGCTCTTTTTGATAATTGAAGAATGCCCACTAAGTGATGCAAAAGGAATAGTAGATTCTGAAATATTGCCTATTACAGTCTCTAATTATGTAATTGATTTGGACAAGTACACAACGCCATTAGGTGAGAGGTTGATAGGAAGCTGGATATTCAGAGAGCCCAAGAATTGCTGTCACAAGCCCAAGAGGGAAAGTAGCTATAAGGGTCACCAGCCTAACACTGCAATCAGTCCTAACGTCACTAATAGTGAGACAACCAGACATTGCGGACCTCCTGATGTGACACAATGTGACACACACACCACCCATGAGGTATTCTTGTCAAAAGCACTCAGCCTTCATCTACCAAACCCTTTGGACTTAGCTTCCATCTCACAGAGAGCTCGGGGGCTACAGGGAGAGGTGACCTCGGAGAAAACAAAATAAATTCGGAAGGCGGGACATTCAACAGAGCAACTGGTAGAGTCTTCTTAATTCACAAAAAAAAAAAAACCCAAAAGGTGGCGGGAGGGACTGTGTCATAGCAAAGGAAACATAAGAAACACAACAACCCCATGTATTACATGGACTCTGACTGAATTTTGACTTGGACAAATCAAAATATTTGGGAGGAAAACAAAGAAGCATTCATTCTGGTAAGGATAAGCATAAAAATGTGGAGAAGTATGAAAAATTCTTTAGAGTCATACCTGGAGCATTTAGGGTAAAATATCATGATATCTATGCTTTAAAATACTTTCAGTAGGCCAGGTGCAGTAGCTCATGCTTATAATCCCAGCACTTTGGGAGGCAGAGGTGAGAGGATTGCCTGAGCCCAGGGTTCGAGACTAGCCTGGGCAACTTGACGAGACCTTGTCTCTACAATAAATCAAAAAATTAGCCGGGCGTGATGGTGCACACCTGTGGTTCCAGCTACTCAGAAGGCTGAGGTGGAAGGATCGCCTGAGCCCAGCAGATTGAGGCTGCAGTGGCCGTGAGAGTGCCACTGCAATCCAGCCTGAGTGACAAGAGTGAGACTCCAGCTCAAAAAAAAAAAAAATTCCATCGTCAGGCACAGTAGTTCATGCCTATCATCCCAGCACTTTGAGAGGCCAAGGCGGGAGGACCGCTTGAGCCCAGAATTTTGAGCAGCTTGGGCAACTTAGCGAGAACCTGTTGTCTCTACAAAATATAAAAATTATAAAATTAATTAATTTAAAATGTCGTGAAGAAATCACAAGTGAAATTAAGAATTATATGAGGTTTCAGGAGCTCTGAGATCTGTACATGCCCTCAGGATTCTGCTGGGCCTCTGACACCTGCTCCTGGTAGGGAAACAAGAGGAGTCCAAATCTCCTCCACCTGAGCTCCCCTGGCTCAGCCATGCTGTGCTGGGCTGCCTGATCCCTACCCCCAGCTTCCTGCCTGGAAGTCCTCCATGGATAAAGCACAGAGCAGACCCAAAGCTGATGCCCTGGGAGGCATCCTCATGCCCCCAAAAGCCATCCATCTATCACAACCAGGAAAGTGACATTAGCTCAGAATATTCAGGATAGGAGAGCTGGACCAGCCTCGTGGATCACCTAACACAATTCCCTAATCATCATTTTACCGATGAAAAGGCTGAGACTCAGAGAGACAAAGGAACATGTTCAAGATTTCACAGCTTTGCAACCGAAGAGCCCAGACAGACCAGAATCCAGGGCTTCTGACCCTGGTCT